TATTTGCCAACCACCTGAAATTTGATCACATGACTATGGGGAATGCTGCAACAGTCGTAAATATAAGAACTGGTCATACGTCACTTTTTTAGTGCTGTTGTAATTTGAATGGTCATTAAACAGATGGTTATATAGAGTGGTGTGGTGGCCTAGAGGTGGAGCTCTCAACTCACAATCATGAGGCTGTGAGTTCGATCCTAGGGAGAGGCAGATATTTCTCTCTCTGGGCACACTGAGAATATATCTGCTGAACAAAACTCCGCATTGGTGACAAGAATGGCATCCGGCCATTAAAACACACTGCTAGCTCCATTCAGTTGCCCAGACTCCACCCCGCAAGGGATTATGGGGTCGTTAGAAGAAGATGGTGATTAAACGAATGGTTGTAAGTTGAGGACTACCTGTATCTCATACTTCTTCAACCAGGTGTCTTCCAGGTGTGTTGGCTATAACTCCATCCACTCCAGCCTGAGCAAAGAAGAATTGATTGATCACTAATGTAATCCAGAGTTACTTTCTCATGGATTAAATCTCTCTTTTTTTCTTCTTCTTCTCTCTTAAAGGGCAGCAAGGAACGCTTTCATTGGCAAAGCCACAATGTCAAACAGAGCGGGGTGGATGACATGGTCTTGCTCTCCAAAATTCATGAAGATGCCATCGTGGAAAATCTGAAGAAACGTTACATGGATGATTATATTTTCGTATCCTTTTATCCAGTGGTGAAATCTAATTTTTTGCCACCGGTTCTGTGGGCGTGACTTGGGGGGGCATGTGACCGGGTGGGCATGGCCAACTTTTCCCCACTTTTTAAAGCATTTTTTTCCCTGCCGGTTCGGTCGAATAGGTTGTAAAAAAAATGCTTTAAAAAGTGAAATAAAGAGGGTTCAGCGATCGCACACTCACAGATGATCCGCGCAATCATCAGAACCATTTCTCCCCCCACACACACACTTTTTAAAGCATTTTTTTACTACTGGTTCCAGCGAATAGATAGGACGCTGCAAACCGCCATGAATTCAGGCTGGTTGCCAGGCATCTGAAATGCGGACATGTGATCACAGAACGGGCAGCCATTGGAAGTTCAGAACTGGGTTATAACTACCTAGAGCCATGGTGGCACAGTGGTTAGAATAGGGTACTGCAGGCTACTTCTGCTGACTGCTGGCTGCCTGCAATTCGAGTCTCACCGGCTCAAGGTTAACTCAGCCTTCCATCCTTCTGAGATGGGTAAAATGAGGAGCCGGATTGTTGGGGACTCTGTAAACCGCTTAGAGAGGGCTGTAAATGCACTGTGAAGCAGTAATATAAGTCTAAGTGCTATTGCTATTTGGGAGGGGCAGTCATAACTTCTAACAGTCACTAAGCAACTGGTCATAAGTCAAGGACTACCTATATGGTAGTCCTTGACTTATGAGGATGTATATAGCTATATAAGGTTCCAGGTTGTTGCGGGCAATATGCTGACTCTGTAAACTGCTTAGAGAGGGCTGTAAAAGCACTTGAAACAGTCTATGTGCTATTGCTATATGTATACATATATCTATATCTGCATATAAGTCTATATTCAGGCATGAAGACAAAGGAACTGCAGTTAGGAAAGTGTCTATGGATATCTTGCAGGTATAGTTTGATATCTCAATATTCCTACTTTTTCAGTGCACGTTGTCTGGCCTACGAGATGTCAGCCGCAGTGGCTGCAAATCTCTGGGTTTTTGAGCCCAAACATTTTTAAAGAAATCACAGGACCTTTTTTTTTTCCTCTTTCTGGACCTTAATAAAGCAATGCTCAGACCTATATTGGACCAGTCCTTATATCTGTCAACCCCTTTAAGCAGATGCCCTACTTCACAGATCGAGAAATTGAACTCTATCAAGGAGCGGTGAGTTTATTCAATGAGAAAAATGAATATAAGAGCCAAGAAATCTGAACGATCCCATTCCTTGAATTTCTTGCAATCTATTTTGTTATCCAGTTACATTTTTAATTCACCCAGTAAAATGGTTTGTATAATGATATCACTCTTTCTTCCAAAACCTTTGAGAAAGGCTGGTGAAAATAATGATTTGGTCTAAGATTTTGCAAATTAAAGCAAGAAACGTAGAAGAACTATCTCATTACATCATTATTATCCAGCAAATCAGGATGATACATTACATTAATTTTTGGTATGATCCCCAGAAATGCTGGTTTTATTTCAATTGTATGTCCCTTTAAATCCATGAGCTCAGATTAATTAATGTATGTTATCAATCAATTCAGTTTATCGAAATCACAGACTAGCACAAATTCATGTACGTAATCTGTTTATTTATTACAATGTAATATGTTTAATTAAATTTAATTGCTTCATGTGGTGTGGTGGGAATTTTCTCCCCTGTTTGTTATTAGGCCATTTGCAGGAGTCGAAAAGTAAAAATCGTGGGTTCCACTGTAAACATAAAGCCCTTTTATATATATTAGAAACAAGAAAGTAAAACTCAAACCATGAATACAAAGATTAATTCCTGACTATGGACCTCCGATTTATATTCTAGGCTCAGTATGAGAATCCACCTCACATCTATGCTCTCACAGACAACATGTACCGCAATATGCTCATTGATGGAGAGAACCAATGTGTCATCATCAGGTAAATTTCATATTGACAAAAGAGAATATTTGTAGCCCATGTAGGGTCCTTAGCACTGTCTGAGCTTGGTGGTTTTCTTGCAGACATTTCATTACCAAACTAGGTAACATCATCAGTGCTAAAAGGGTTTGCTCTTATTTTTATACACTGGCGTCTTGCGCTGCCAGTGTTGGTGGGAGTGTTTTTGGTGGTTCCTTGATTAGACTGTTATTTACTGCTAGCTTGTTTATTTGCACTGGTAGTTCCTTGATTTGGGATATTGTTTCTTCTTGATTGTTGGTTTCGTCTTAATCTTGATGTTAATCTGTGCTCATGGAGACTGGCTGCTGGTGAGGAAATTGTTGGAAGGAATGTCCTTCTGGGTTCAGTTCCAAGTAGGGAGAAAGACACTGGAAACATGGAGACTGCTTGGAAAGATGGTTTTTAATGGTGGACAGGACCACATGGTTTGAGGTCCTGGGAGGGGAGGGGGATCACATGCCTTGAAGAACTTGGAGAAAAAAAGGGAAGAGATGCTGAGAGAGCCTGAGTTTTAGACCCTCTCTTGGGCCACGCCTTGGAGCTTCCTGTTCCTGTGTAAGAAATATATTCTGATTGGTGGTCAGACTCCCAGGGGACGGGGGTCTTAGCTAACTTTGTAGGCTGTCTGTGTTCCAGGCTTGGTTGAGCCTTTCTGGCTGATGTAATCTTCCCAGATGCCATGTGGTGAGATGGATAGAGGGCTAATCCTATGACGTCCTGAGGGCCATGTCTCTTGTGCTGCAGTTGAGCTGGCTCAGGCCTTAATGGCCCATTGACAAAGGTGCGGAGAGGCTGAGTTTCTGCCTCCCTTTTAGGGGAATTATTCTGCCCTTTTTAATATTTCCTAAAATATTTCATTTTCCTAAGAGAGGGGGCAGGTGCTAACTTCCTACACGTTATTTGGATCTTTTTATTTCCTTTTGGGTGTTTGGATTGTCTCTTTTGAGTGGTATGTATGTAGATGGTTTTTATCTCTATACCTGGAGATACAAACAATATGTACATACTACTGTAGGAAGTTATCACCCAGCCCTCTCCCAGAAAAATGAAATATCCTAGGAAATATTGAAAAGGCAGAATATTACATTTCCCTGGGTGTGA